GCAAAATGCGCATTAGGATTATACTTCTATTAGAAGCCCCTTTCCTTACTAGGCAAATGAACCATATAATACACCAAGATGGATGTTATACACGTTAGCGTTTGAGCAGAATTTTTTTTGGTTATCTCATTGTCTCACATTGCTAGAATTGAAAAGTTTATAATATAATAACGTTCGCATATGAACTTGAGAAACGACATACTGCCAGCTGGCCGGGAAGGTGCAGTGAAAGAGAGAAAAGGAAGAAAGAAACAAACATGCATGAAAGGACAAAGACTATCCAATAGATTATATACAATGACTTCTTGAGGTGATTACAGCTATTCAACCATCAATAATGCATTATTTTAGTTTGGAATTTGGAAGCATTTGAGAAGTAACAAGACATCAACCACATAATAAACAAAAGTGATTAGAAAAAAAACCCAAACGTGAAGGAATAATTAAAAACAATTATTCAAGATAAGCGATAAATGATTCAACCATTTACAAGATATGAACTTAGAACAACAATCTATTTGATCGTTGTATTAACTATTAAGTGGTGCTCTAATATAATATATCCAAATGGAGACGAACCATATAATACACCCAAATGGACCATTTTTAGGCTCCACTGCTAAAAACTAATGCAAAACGGGCATTAGGATTAAACTATAAGAACTAGGATTGCAGGGAAGACAAAACACGCAGGAAAGCTGTAAGACTACACAAGGTTTTCACTGTGATTGCATACCCTCAACGTTGTAGGGAGCAACCTTTTTATAATCACTTTTCAGATTACATCAGGGTTTCAAAAACCCTATTTACAAGCTTACATTTTGAAATTCAAATACTATAACTAATTCTGATAAAACAAATATTTAAAAATTCAAATGATTTTAACAGAAGCTCCACTTGATAAGTGTTGTTGACTGAGTAAACCAACTGAAGAATTTCTGTTTGAAGAGGAAACTTGACTCCGTCTAACATAAACTTGTATTAGCTAGCTTTCCTAGTCAAATGAACCATATGATACACCCAAATGGATGCCATCATGCCATATATAAACAATGTTTTGAAAGGACAAGGTACCTAAGACTGTCTTTTTATATAATGTAAGCAACAACCATAAATCTTATTGGAGCTAATTAACTAATGTATTTATTAGACAGTTGGATTCCTTAGCAAGTGGTTAACTATTTTTGTTTAGTTTAGTAGTCAGGTCGTAATTAATTAGTCAAATGAACCATATAATACACCCAAATGGATGCCATATATGCAATATAAACAATTTTTTCAAAGGATGAAATGACCTTCTTGCGGGTATAGGGGAAGAGGAAAGAAACTAGTACGAAACTGCAGACCCTATCGATCCATTATAATAAATTTCAAGGGTCCAAGTTGTAAGTTAATTGTGCAACGTAAAAACTTATTCACAATTATCAACTTAACCACGTACCTGTGGAAGACATCGTCTTTGAAAACTAAGATTAAGAACTGAAGTTCTCCTGCAACTCTACACAATTGAAAGCTCGCTCAATGGGGCTTGAGTTTTCTGTAAACTTGTGTAGTTAGGGGAGAGATCAGGGACCTCAATTTTATACATGGAATTTAATAAGGAACCCTCTCATTAATTGATCCTTATCAAAGAGTAGCCTTATCACCGTGAAACACTAATGCATTATATCAGCTAGAAGAGTTCTAGTTTTATCGAAAATGTATCTGACTTGAAATTGTAAAGAAATACAACTCCTAATAAGTCTACCACAAGTGTCAATCCTTATCTCCTTATCATTCCACATCACCAAGTGTTTGCTCTCATATAGAACTTACACAAATCTCATGTAGTTTCATCTAACTTATTTTTCACAACGGTGAATATATTTCAATGGCTTGGTTTTCACATGCCAGTCAGTCACATGCTCAACTCCTCAAAGTTCAGGCTCAATGGCTCAAAGAGGGCTTCCACTTCACTCTGATTCACCTCCCTTTTACTTTGACGGGTTCCACTTCGGATTCTGCATTGACAAAAAACAGAAGCAAAAGATTGTTGAGAGTTCTCCCACATTGGTGAGGGACAAAGCTTGTTATGTGCTTATATGATCTTAGGCTACTTCCAATATTGCCAATTTGTTTTATGGTGGAACCTCAATTTCATCATGGTATCAAAGCCAAGTTGTCGACATGTGAAGCCCAATGGCCACATGCGCTCCACGTCACCCAGTTGTTGTACACGTGTAGGCTTGAAAATCCGTCACATGTGCGGGGTCGTGTTGAGAGTTGTCCCACATTGGCGAGGGACAAGACTTGCTATGTGCTTATATGATCTTGGACTACTTCCCATATTGTCAATTGGTTTTATGGTAAAACCTCAATTTCATCAAAGATAACGATCTGTTCTGATACAAGGAAAGTAAGATGATTATATAACTGTAGGTCTAGTATAGGCTGTAATGGTTTATGTTGCAGCAACTCCGTCAGCAAGTGATTTTCAAGTAAGGAATCTTGAGCATAATTAACGAACCTGATCCTTGTCCACCAAAACTGCCCGCACACCTTCAGCAAAATCATTCCGCAAAGACGATCTTCTAGCAACGCGATATTCAGTTTTCATCACACCAGTTAGCTGGTATGGATCAAGTAAAGCACATGTTACTCACTCAGAAAATGTGAAATACTACAACACAAAATCTATCAAAAGGATGCAACCTTGAAGAGCTTCATTTGCCCACTCCACCACTACAACGGAAACAATTTGATAGAAAATACTTGACAGCCATGTACAAGCCTCTCAATAGAAGAGTAAGACAGATTTCATTTCATCATCGATAAACAAATGGCATTGACAAACTTACCAGTAGCATCTGAACTCTGCTGCTGCTTTTTAAGTTCATCAATTGCCACAAGAACCGACTTATTTGCACCAAATGCTGAAGTTATTTGAGGTAAAAGACTCCTGAGCTGCGATTCGAATCTGGGTTGCTGCTGAATTTCACCACAGTTGTAATTGACAACATTGACAATTGTCTCTCTCGCAATAGTACCTTCGTAATGATCCGGTACTGACCTTGGCCCGATAGGCCAATACCAAAGGCCATTGTTATGGCCACGAAGCTTATACGTGGCTGTCAAGCCCGACACGTGAATAGCATACTCTACTACTGTGTTACATTGTGAGAATTTTATCCAAAATTAATTGACAATAAGTGAATAAGTTGAAAGATTATGTATGACTTTAATTATGCAAAGAGTGAAGAGGCAATTTTCACCAAACTCCAGTAAAAAATTTGGGCCTCACAAATCACTAAACCCAATATGCTTTTCTCTTATGCCTTTTGTTCATGGTTCGATATTCTGGCGTCCGAGGACCCTGACATGACAAGTTCCAACTTTTGTTCAATTTCTTGACGAAACAATCACATTTACCCTTACGGCACGGCACGGTTCCGGGCATAGAATATGGGTTGGGTTCCGTCACAGCTCCAACACTGTAGAGAAGGAAATAAAAAGACAACTATTTATTTCTTACAACGTAGCCAGTCTCTTGACATGGCTCCTGCTGTTTTGTTCTTATTTCACGTCCTGTTTCTCGAGCTTGGTGTTTCCGGCAGGGCCGGTCTAGAGATTTTTGAGGCCCGGAGCGACGTAAAAAAATATGCTCACTTTATATAAGAAAATTATTTGTTTTCACATGTAAGACATGGATAAAATTATACTTACAAAAACACTTAAACTTAATAATTTAGAAACAAGGAAAAACTAATTTATTTTGTATCGTGAGAATGAAACAAAAAAACTCTGGTCTCTTCCGCTCCACCTCGGCCTGGATTAGGCAGGTTGGAGCTCTCACCCCTGGCCATGTACGAGGCATTTTGGATAGGCAACTTTTAGTTTCTCTTGGAATATCGCCTAACTCCTGTAAAGCTCCTTCTATTGTCCCTGTTCATTGGCTCCCCCCTCCTTTTTCTTGGGTTAAAGTGAATACTGATGGCCTTGCTAAAGGTAATCCGGGTCCTGCGGCATGTGGCGGGGTTTTTCGTGACTCTGCAGGTTATTTTCTTGGTGGTTTCTCCCTAAGCTTGGGTCATCGTACTTCTTTCTATGCGGAGCTCCATGCTGTCATCCTTGCTATCGAATTGGCCCACACGCGGGGCTGGCTAAATTTATGGCTTGAAAGCGACTCTTCTAGTGTAATATCATGTTTTGCTTCTGGATCTTTCTCTCCCCCTTGGTCTCTCCAGACACGCTGGAACAATTGTACTCTCCATTTGCAGAACATGGTTTTTCGTTGCTCTCATATTTTTCGAGAAGGGAATGTTGTGGCTGACAAATTAGCCAATTTAGGGCTTCTATCATCTTCCCTTGTTTGGCATTCCACTCCCCCTATAGAGATCCTTCCTCCTCTGCACTCAGATTTCTTGGGCATGCCAACCTACAGGTTTGTCTCCTCTTCTTGATGTGTGTTCTCCTTTCTTTTCCTAACCTTTTTTGGATTCCCTTTTGTTTTGCAGCTTGTCTTGCAGGTTATTACCTTTTAGGTTTATTGAGGGGTTTGGGCTTATGTCCGCCCAGTCTTTTCCTTGTATTTTCTTTTCCAAGAGGGGTACGGTCTATGTCCCCCCCTCTTTTGTATTTTCTTTCTCAAAAGGGGTAAGGTGCATGTCCCCCCCTTTTTTGTATTTCTTTTCTCTTGTTCTATGAGGGGTTAGGTTTATGTCCCCCCCTGTCTAGGTGTATTTTCTTTTTTCTTATCAATAAATTTCCCTCGTACCGCCGAGGTTCTCCAAAAAAAAAAAAAAAAAAAAAAAAAAAAAAAACTCTGGGTTTACAAGTAGATAGATAGATAGATATGGCACAAGTTGCGGATTGCTTTGCTAACTATGATGTTGATCTGGCTGGGGTTCATTGGTGAGATTCTTGATTTCCTTGTGCTACTTTGACATATCACCATAAGTTGTCTTTTTTGCCTTGTTATAGTTTCGTGTGGGGTTTTTTTTCTTCTAATGTTGATTGGGTTCTTTTCTTCCAACTCCTGCCCACTCATTATTGTCTGAACCACACCTAGTATTACCCTCATATCCACTAAAACTTCAAGCTTTACCAATTTGTCACAAGCGAAGATGGTAGCTCCCAACACCAATGAGGTTCCAAACAATTACGATCGAAAAAGCGAAGTGAAAGCTTTTGATGAGACAAGGGAAGGCGTTAAGGGTCTTGTTGATGCCGGGATAGCCGAGGTTCCTAGAATTTTTCATCAACCACCACAATTGGACGATCAGTACTCCATCAACAATACAAGCACTGACTCAGAAGCCACCCAGTTTAGCATTCCGCTAATAGACCTTGAAGACCATGGTAATCCAACTAAGCGCAATGAGATTGTTGCAAAAGTTGGAGAGGCATCAGAGACTTGGGGCTTCTTTCAAATAGTGAATCATGGGATACCTGTAGGTGTTCTGGAGGCGATAAAGGATGGGGTACGTGGGTTTTATGAGCAGGACACTCGAGTCAAGAAAGAGTTTTACACTCGTGATCACTCTAAACCTTTGTTTTACAATAGCAACTTTGATCTTTATAGTTCACTGGCAACGAATTGGAGGGATACTTTTAAGTGTTACATGGCTCCATATCCTCCTAAGCCAGAAGACTTGCCAGAAGTATGCAGGTATTTGACAACCCAATTCTCTGGTTTAATTGGTGACATTAACCTGGTGCAGATTCCTTCCTTGATGGATTAGATCATTAAACTCCATACTTTTGACAAGTTTAATGTGCTTTCCTGGTTTTCAACTTGCAGAGACGTACTGATCGAGTATTCAAAGCGAGTAATGGAGTTGGGGAAATTGTTGTTCGAGTTGTTGTCGGAGGCCCTTGGGCTAAAGCCAAGCCACTTGAATAGCATAGATTGTAGTAAGGGGCTACAGGTTTTTAGGCCATTTACTATCCTGCTTGTCCACAGCCAGAGTTAACTTTGGGCACAAGCAAGCACGCTGATGATTCCTTCCTTACGGTCCTTCTGCAAGATCATATTGGTGGTCTGCAAGTTGTTGATCGTCAAAAGAAGTGGATAGATGTACCCCCTGTGCCTGGGGCTTTAGTGGTGAACATTGGAGATCTTTTACAAGTAAGCACACGTATTACAATTGCCCTTTTTTTTTTCTCCCTAAAAACTACTATTAAATTAAGAGAATAGTATCGTAAACTAAGCTAGTTTGTTAATGACTAATACTCGAGACAAGCTTTGGTCGCATGTTAGCGTTTCTCTTAGAATATGTCTTAGAATTCTTCGATTATCATAATTAGGTCTTTTATGTTCAATTCTTTTTGGGATTTTCAGCTCATATCAAATGATAGATTCAAAAGCGTAGAACACAGGGTATTGGCGAACCGTGAAGGTCCAAGGATATCCATTGCCAGCTTCTTTAGCACAGGTTTGCTACCATTTACAAATCTCTATGGACCTATTAAGGAGTTGGTATCAGAAGACAACCCTCCAAAGTACAGGGAGACTACTGTGAGGGACTACGACACCCATTTCTATGACAAAGGCCTAGATGGAACCTCTGCCTTATCTCATTTTAAGATCCCAACTTAGACATGGAGGAGCACAGACCGCAACGAACAAATCCTGTCTACTAAATAATTTTGCATGAAAATATATATTGGTTGTTTAATCTGAAAGCGCTTTCGCACCACAAAATTCTGGATATGCATATTATTTTGTTTTCTGTTTGCATATGGTCTAATATACTTGTAGAAAGGGTTGGGCTTCTACCCATGCATCTCAGGTACAAACTTCCCCTCCTATAAATTATTGTAATAGTTTCGAACTCTCTATCTTCCGCAAAAAAATTTAAAAAGTAAATAAAGAAGTAAAATTTAAAAAATAAAAGGGGGTTTTCTAACACTTTTATTCATCATGTTTACAGTTTTTGTGGCATGCTGCTTAGCGCTTAACGAATTCAACTGTGGTTGTGGTTGCGGTTGCGGTTGCATATCAATACTATTATACCATAAGTGTGGGCTTGTTTGAGAATGTTTTTATTTGTAAGAAGCGGTTTTACACAATTGTGTCGAAAACCTGTTAAAGTATTTATTATAATCCAACTGCTTCTTGGAGAATCACTCTCCGTAAAGTCAGCTAAAAAAAGTAGCCAATCCCGTCCATCCTCCACACTATATAACCCGTACACGAAAGAGGAAGCTGAGGAGAAAGCAGCCAAAAATGCTAAGAAGATTATATTTTTATACTATATTGATGTATGACAAGTGATATGTACATTTCCGGTTGCAAATTTTGGTTCGCCGGTGTAGTGCACATGGGAGGGGATTGTCTAGCATTGTTCCAAGCAGTTAGAGGCGGTCGGTTGCGATGATGTGTTTTCTACGGCGAGAACATACAGGAGTCATCAGTTATTCTCGCAACCGTCTTCCATAATGAAGGACGAGAGAGAAAAAAACGAATGTAGAAAGAAAACATACAAGTTGGTTGACAAAAGGGGAAGAAAAATTGAGAGATACAGAGAATAAGAAAAGAAGAAAATCGATGCAAATTTTAATACATATGTAGTAGATCCAGGTATCCAAAGGATTCGGGGCTAATGTACCTGCATTGGTGAAAAAACAAAGATGAGATTTTTGGAAACGCATCACATGGTAGTTAAAACATCCGGCCGTAAATGAAGGGTTTGAGATACGGCCATAATGGCATCCCTCAGGTGTGAGTTTCTCCATCGGATCACTTATTGTAAGAATATCAGTAGTGAAAGTTAAATACCCATGTCAGGAAAGGAAGTCGATGATGACAGAAGAGAGATTTGGCTTGAAAAATGTATGATGTTTGCAACATGCGTCACCGGAGTATGAACTTGAAGCTCTCCCTCTCTCCGTCGTTAAATGTTTCGTAAGCAGCATTGTTAAAGTTCTCTATGTCAGGGGGGAATCTGAAGATGGTTTTGAATGAAGAAGAATGGAAAATATAATTTAGAAAATGAGAAAGAAAATTATAATTGAAACTTAAAAAATGAGAAATATAAAAAGAGATTTACTATTTTCTAGGAGGTCTTGGAGTTGGCCGTGACTGTATGAGAGGATAAGCTAAGTTCCAATGGAAAGTGGAAATTTTCAGAGCGAGAGGGTAGCGGTTTTTTCGCTTGCTCTCTTGGACTTTGGGCTTTTGGATTGGATTGGGCCAATTACTTACTTAGGCCCCATCCCAACTTATGACCTTTTGTCGGTCTGTATTGACTCATGAGTCAGACTTGTAAGGCTGTCTTTAATAAGTTGCCGCGTTTTGTCAAAACTGGTCCATCTAATTACAAAATTGTAACCATATTAGTTGAGTGCATATTCTAAATCACATTTAGTGAATATTCAGTACGGGTGACACGTGGTCAAACTTGTAAGGTTGTTCAATAAGAAGTTATCACGTTCTCAAGAGTGGAGCTAGAGGGGAGCATTTCCCTACCAAAGTGTTTTCCTTGTCCCCTTTACAAGGGATTTATGTCACCATTAGACAGGAGATTTGAACACAAAACCTTGAATTGAGAGGTAAACGCTATTACAAAGCTTCTACGAGCACCTTCTTGTTTACCAAACTTATTGAGACTAAATGAGGCCTTAACGCTTATATCTTAGGTCTTATGAGTGCTCGTAATACACTAAAATGACACTTGTTTTCTGGCCAGGACAGAAACAAAATCATGCAGGAAATTGTCATGAAAACTTAAGTGTAAAATGTGACCGGAAGAACACTAAACAGGATAGCTATGCTCTCTTAGTGTAAACCTTAACAAGAAAGACCATACCGTATCTGTCACAGTGATATGCGACCATAAGCCCAACTCCAAGGATCACCTTTCCAAGAGCTTTGAAGGCTACAAATCAAAAGTTACATGCAGTGATGACATACTCATGAAAAAATACAATCATAAATTGAAGGAAAACATACCGACTTCTAGTTCTGGCAATTCACTATCGGGCCATATATTTGAACCACAGTATGAGGGATACCTACAATACAGATCACAAATAAAATCTGAGCAGACACAAAGTATTATGTTCTGTTTACGCAAAATCTGTCAGTTCTCAGATAGGATAAATAAAGATAAACATATCCGAGCATAAAGACGATTTGTCCTGGCTAATTCTGAAAAACCTTGTATCAAATGTATGATAGTTATTCATAACTAGCACAAACAACAGTTTGGCCAAACATTACTGGTCGAGCCATATACTGTGTGACCTCAGACAAAACAGATCCCACATGTACTCAGATTATGATTGATGTCCGTATAGACTTTTACCTTTGAATTAGAGATTCATCTGTTGTAGGGGTATCCAATATTGGATTTGCATAAAACGAGCCTTTTAACGTATCTGCAAAACCAGAACACAAACGGACAATGATTGATCCTAAGTTCTTAGAGTTTCCAAAGAAACAAAATTTAAAACAAAGAACATAAAGTGATATCAGGCTTTCCAGATTTCTTTTCCATGACTCCATCCAAAATTTATGAGTTATGAATGGAATAATGGAGCAAAATATCGTCGCCAAAACAGCGCAATCTACAATGTACATGATGGAGAAAGTACAGCAACATTACATTAAGTTCATGTAACCTTTGGTTTCACATGTAAGCCTTTGGTTTATATTTTTAACCGATTCGTTAATAAATTCTTCCTGCACATATAGTTTCAACCCGAAACCGAAAATTCCATTGTCAAACAAATATGTATAATACCAGAATTAAGTAAATTACAACATATCACCATACCGATACTGATGTGATTCAGAATTAAGCATTTTTAACTTATCATAACTGGTAATGGAAGAGAGAATCAGTAATTAACACTGGTGATTCAGAATTAAGCATTTTTAACTTATCAAAACGCGTAACGGAATCATACACGAGTGATTGATAGAATTCCCAACCCATTTGGTCCAAATCCTTCTTCAATCTTCACTGACAAGTCTTTGTCCTTGTCCTGTATCAATCAATCCAAAATCAAAAAACGCAAAACTAGAAAAATTGAATCCTCGACATGATCGACGAGTTAAAACAAAACTATGAATAAAACAATTATATTCTGTTTGGTTGCTGAGAAAATGAAGAGAATAACAACCAAAAAGTCAACTGAAATAAAATTTTGCTCAACTTTCAACGAATTCTCTTGAGTTTCTGACCACCCAAACAGAAAATAAATTAAAGCCAATTAAACCAAACTCTCATGCTCAATTTTCTCGGCAACCACAAACAGAACTTAGAGGGGGGAGGAGAGAGTTACTTGGAGCTCGGAGTAGGATATGGTGACCGGTGTGACGGTGGGGACGGCGGGGTCGGAGGACGGAGGCATAGTTCGACAAGAAATTTGGCGGGAAACACGGCGGTTGGACTTTGACGGTGGGGAAGAATCCGTGGGACAGAAGAGGAATTTTGGTGCGGAAGGAGGCATTTTATATAGGAGGGAGGGAGAGAGGTTGAGAGCGAAAGGCGTGATTGTCAATTTCTTTTTTTTTTTTAAGGAATAAAGAAAGAAAAGAGGTTGAGCATCAATTGCTTTTCCCTCCAAACCAAAGAATATAGAGAGTTTTAACGAAAAGTCCACGATACTATTTACTTTAATGAAAAATTATATTTTTACACTAAAAAATCAAACCTGCTATTATTCACTTTAACCTTTATTTTGTCTTTATCGTTGAAACTCAAAGTTTTCAAATCATTTTCATTAGTTTTCCTAAGAATATATTCACGATCACGATGTGCGGCAAAAATTGGTGGTGAGGACAAATATATTAAATACATGTAAGTATTAGTTAAATTTAAAATTATTTGTGTACTATTAAGGATTTGTTTGAAAGTGTTTTTAAAATGATTGAAAGTAATTTTGGTTAAAATGTTTTTTATATCAACTTTTAGTAAAACCAAGTGGATCCCAAAAAAACATTTGGTGTACTTTTTTACAAAAAATGCAATTTTAGAATCCAAAATTAATTTAATAAAAGTGGGTTTAGTCTTTTTTTATTATTTTTTATTTTAACAAAGGATATAATCTATCTTGAAGGTGAGAGGGTAGACTTAACCTCACAATGAGCTAGCACATTAATAATGTGATTCAAATTCGCCTTTGCGAAAATTGAATTTAAGACCTCTCACTTACAAGTGAGGAGGAATGCCTTAAATCGTAGTACTAAGTAATGTGTTTAATCATTTTTAAAAGACTTTAAAACGAGCCCTAATTTGTATCAAATTAAAAAATGTTGAATTGGCCGGATGTAATATGTATTGGGTATTTCCTCATTCAATAATATTTACGTTGTTTTCGGCAAAAAAAGAAAGAATTCAATTGGAAAAAATAAAAAAATGGGAAATAAGGATATTCTAATTAAGGTTTTTATTCATTGTTTTAGGTGGATGGTTCATATGAAGATTATGAAACACTTTAATTCTCTAATGTGAGGTTCCGCCTCGATCCAAAGTTAAACAGTGAAAAATATAATTAAGATTGTTATTAATTATCAATTCATGTATATTTCCCCATGTATTACGTTTACTAAGTTAGACAATGAAAAATACATATAAGGCGTTACGAGAATATGCGTGGCTGTCAAGTCTGACACGCAAATAGCATGCTCAACTTGTATTACTCCCTAAGGATTTTATCCAAAATTGACGATGAGTGAACAAGTTGAAAGATTATGCACTACTTTAATTATGTAACAAGTGAAGAGTCAATATTCGCCAACCCGACAAGTTCCACTTTTTGTTCATTTTCTTGACGAAACAATCACATTTACCCTTACGATTCCGGGCATAGAGTATGTGTTGGGTTCCGTTACAGTTCCAACACTACTTAGCACCGTAGAGAAGGAAATAAAAAGACAACTTTGGATTTCTTACAACGTATTGAGTCTCTCTTCATGGCTCTTGCTGTGTTGTTCTTATCTCACGTCCTGTTTCTCGAGCTTGGTGTTTCCGGTTGCAAATTTTGGTTCGCCGGTGTAGTGCTCAGGGGAGGGGACTGTGTCACATTGTTCCAAGCAGACAGAGGCGGTTGACAACGATTGCGATAATGTGTTTTTCTACGGGGAGAACATACAGCAGTCAGCAGTTACCTTTTCACAACCGTCTTCAGTATTTGGAGGCACCTCAAGAAATTGTCGAGGACAGAATGTAGAAAAGAACAAATATCGAAGTTGATTGACAAAAGGGGACGAAAAATTGAGAGATACAAAAAAGAGGAAGATAAGAAGAAATTCGATGCAAATTTTAAGCTTGATTAGTTATTTTTCATTAATGAGCGATACAGAGAAGAAGAAACAGCTGCATTTGGAGATAGCCGCTTTAGTTGCCTAGTTTGTAACATTAGCTTTATGTAAATCCGGGGAAGAAACAGGAGTAAAAAAAACACAATCAGGCAGTACCAAAGAAGAAAAATGTACAGTTAGGAACAATCACCACTTCTCAAACTTTGTAGTAGATCCAGGTATCCGAAGGACTCGGGGCTAATGTACCTGCATTAACCAGAAACAAATATCAGATTTGTGGAAGGGAGTCGCATAGTAGTTAAAATACTTGGCCGTGCGTGAATGGTTTGAGATACCACCATAGAGGCATCCTCCAGGTGTGAGTTTCTCTCGTATCCGATAACTTATTGTAAGAATATTAGCAGTGAAAAAGAAATACCTGTGTCGGGAAAGGAAGTCAATGACAAAAAAGCAATTTGGCTTGAAACATTGTGTCCCCGTATGGAGCTTGCAACATGCATCACGGAATCAACTTGAAGCTCTCCACCTCTCCATCTGTTATGTTTCATAAGCAGCATTGTTAAAGTTCCATCTGTTTGTGGGGATATACCTACAGATCCTCCTCCTGGATTCTTTGCCTCTATACGTGAAAACCCAACATCTGGGAACAAACAAATTACATTCTCTGGCATAGCAAGAACAGTCCTCTGAAATGTATCCATACAAAGTTAGGACACAACAAATTCAATAAGGCAATGTAATTCACAACATTGACAATCTCTGTCTGACAAGGCAATAATACCTCTGTAATGATCCGGTAGCGACCGTGACCTGATAGGCCAATACCAAAGCCCACTGTTATGCCATCCATGAAGCTTATATGGGCTTCTTGAACTCAGAGAGTTTGCATATTAGAGAATACTCAGCAGTGAATACCTGAAAAACGTGCAGCACAAATATCATATCGGCAGCCTCTCAAATCTTAAGAAAACTACAAATGGTATCTTAGAATAGAAATGAATCCTCTCCAACCAATACAAATCATATTACCCAAGTTCAAGCAAAATCAAGATTAAACAAATGATCAGATTTGTAGGTTGCCCGAGAATGTCAAACATGATATTACAAAAGAAAAAAAAATATTGTATGTATTGATATTAATAAATACATGCTGAAAGCACAATCTTAGCCGCAATTTTCGCCCATGAGCGGTAGGTCTCGGGTTCGAGACTTGGGAGCAGCCTCTCCATAAATTGGGGTAAGGCTAGCCGACATTCACCTCTCCCAGACCCTGCGTAAAGCGGGAGCCTTGTGCACTGGGTACGACCTTTTTTTTTATACGAGATTGAATAGCCAAAGCAATTAAAGAAGTAGCAGAACTCATATAAGTGACTTTCACATTGAACTTTTAGGCTTATCAACAAATACATCATTATGATTCTAATACATGAATTTTGTTAAAAGGGCTTGCTTGCTTGTATTAAGGCTTAATCATCAATGATTTTGCAAGGGTCAATCGTATTGCTAGTTATAAATATATTCACTATGAAAATTACCAAAATTACATCTAATATGGTAGTGAAGGAAGTCATCTTATATTATCTTGATTTTAGAAAACTGTGTAAGGTTATAAGTCTGCTATTATATATAGTTAAAAGGACACAATTAGACCTCAATCATATTCGGTGGTTGGTTTTTGGTCGTGATCTGCTTCACATCACCGCCTGCAGGTAATCTAAATCTGGGTTATTACTTATCAACATAGTTGCCAGATACGGATACAGTTCGAGTTCCTGATTCGGTTCGGGTACGGAATTCGATGGTAACCTAAAGTATCATTCGTTAGAGAGTATACATAGACAGCACGATATTTAGTTCGATCCGTTCTTAATTCGTTAAAAATATAAATTAAAAATATTTATAATATACATTTTACAATAATATTTATAGTTATTGTAAACAACTATTTTTGTTTAAATTGATTATTTTATAAGCAACTAGTTATTTACCCAGATGGGTCCCCCCCCCCCACTAACACAATAAAAAAATGTAAAAATTACAATTAAACTAAACATTTTCTCTTCGTCTGCCCTCTACCTGATGGAGAGCTTCCCAAAATTCCAGTTGTTTCCATCCTCTCTTCTCAAAAAATTAAAGGTGTTTTTTCTTTTCTGTATTCTGATTAAAAATTATTAAAGATTATTGGATGAATCACCGAACTGACCACCGAATCCAAAAAGTACTGGTGCGTACGTACCGATACGGGATTCGGACACCATTTCACCGAATCCGGCAACTATGCTTATCAATGAATCAACGTGCCAACTTAATGGACACCATCTATCTCTATATGGCAAAAAAACAACACAAAAATGAACAATGAAGTGAAACAATAAACAACATGACGTGAAACAGCATGAACATCAAAGACTAACTTTGGTTCAAAGCAAAGCGTAATGTAGAAACCTTCGGCAGAACAGGGGTGTTTTTGTCCTTTTGAAACAACCACTTTAATATCCTTTCCTGCATTTACCATGATTGGTCACTCTTAAAACCTTACCTAAGAGACCCAAAAACAAAAATAACCGCCGAAAGAGCTAAACATACATATCTAGAAAAACTTATTTAACTGCATGCTAAAATGGAAGTGTAAAATTGCCAGGAAAGATAAGAAACTATTCAAATACGAGTTCTGGGCGTTACCGCCACAAAAGGCACGACCCGAGCGGCTATCAACAAGAACACACTTCACATTTGTGTCAGCTTCCCCTTCATCTAGATAGCTCTTGTATTTCACATCCATATCTGCATTTTCCAACAATTCCCACTTAAACTGAAACACATAATTCTTTGGAAAAAAGCTAACTTCTTCGAAATTTGAATCCAACGTTTCGTCTTATAACAAATGCAATACCATAGATTTGTAATCAATACGATGCCATAAAGTTCAAGCTCAAAAATTCAAATCAGCTCCAAATCAAAAGCATTTACAGATACATACATATATACATGTGCGTGTGTGTGTGTTTATCTACATACCTAGGTTCATGGCGTTGAGAGCTCGGGGGGCGACCGAGGGTGATGACGGCGACGCCAATTGGGTGGATGCTGCTCTTGACGAACGCGTCGGCGGCGGCCATGATCCCGAAGGGGCGGAGGAGGCGAGGGGATTTGGAGGGTTTGTAAAGAGGGAGGTTCGAATTTGGATTGAGGAAGAAGAAAGCGGACGACGATTTGCTCAGAATTTGGGTCGCTCCTCCCAATAAGCTTCCCATTACTTCCGTTCGAGAGTGACTCTGTCAGTGTAGAGAGAGATATAATTTTTGTGCTTCTAGACCGGACTACCCTTGATATTTCGATTAAATTACCGGGAAAAAAGAACTGCCGCGGTGGCTCCAGAGGGAAACTTGAAATTTGAAAGAAATTTGAAAGAAATATGAAATATGGACTTGCCTTCATTTATCGAACTGATTGTGATGATGACGATGCATCACCACCTTGATTGTGCCTCTGGATCAAAAACACATCTTCAGGATCAAAACCGTGCATATTTTCCTTCAGAGGTTTGTCCCATACTAGATTAACCCCTGTTCCCTTAATTGTCACATAATGAATTTTTTTGAATGCCTCTGGCATTTCAAAAGTTACATCAACTTTATCCCCGCTTTGCAAATTGAGCTTATCGTTCGATATTTGTCCTTGCCAAAGAAAACATTCTTTAAATACAATATCGCGCATTTTTATAACCCAATCTTCCTTGCTTATGCAGGTGTGCAACTCGATACGCTTGGTATTATTTATATCAATACTGGCACGATGATGACCATTCCATCTGATACAAGTTCTTGGCTGATAAGGATTGAAGCAGTAAAGGCATAACAGAGTCAGCCCTTCAAACTTACGACCATCACTCAGGGGGATATCAAAACTGACTTTATTACCATCGTTGACAAACTCGAACCAATCAGGAACATAATTCCCATTGAGAAAAATGCCACCATATCCGCAAGAAGTCCATCCCTATATACACAGTGCAAGTGTCATATATATATACATGTACATGTGCGTTGTGTGTGTGCATGTGCCCAATAGGAAGACAATTAAAAAGAGAGATACCTTTAGGATGTTCCTCCTTAAATCAATCCTGAGTTTGGTGCAGTTACTCATATCAATCCATGTCATGGAGTTTAATGACTTATCCAAGTCTGGAACCTCAGTGAGTGCGTGTGAATCACTTACATCCAGTTCTCTCATATTCGACATTTTCGAAAAATTGGGCATTGTTACCAAACAATAGCAACTAGATGCACCCAGAAATTTCAAATTTGTTGGTAAATCATAGATTGTATGAAGGTAACGGCAGTTACTTAACTGCAAACTTTCAAGATTTGAAAGATCACTGAGGATGGGTAGGGTATGAAAATAATTACCCGAAAGATTCAAACCTTGTAAAGAAATTAGACTCCCAAAACCTTTTGGGAATGCATCATCGCTTAATCTGCACCATGAGATCTAAATTTCTTAAAGAATCTAAGCCGTGTAACGAATCGGGAAATTGCAAAGGAAACTTCGATTGCACACGCTCTAGAGATAAATAAGTGAGATTTTTCAATCTTACTGTGGAACGCGGTACTTGTCTTATGGCTGTGGTAGATGCTCTAAGTTCTCTCAATGATGTCATCTTCCCTAAATCCTCGGGCAGTTCACTGAATTGACAACATAGATAAAGATCAAGAATCTGAACGGATTTGGACTCGTAGAAATCCCCAGGAAGAGAATTAAGATTCTTGCAGGCTATGAAGTTCACAAAAGAGAGTTTTTTAAGATGACCAATGGAGGGGTGAATCTCGGACAATCTCTCACACCTTTCCAATATCAAATCTTCAAGATTTGGGAGATTTGATAAGTCTGGTGATTTTTTTAAGTCCTGGCAATAACTGAGATTAAGGATTTTCAAGTTTCCAAGCGACTGTTGCAAAATCAAAGGAATATTAAAATTAATATCCAAAAGGAATATCTCATATAAAAAAGAGAAGTAAATAAAAAAAACAAATAGAAACATAACATCATGATGTGTAATCGATTGTACCTTGGAGCCCTCCCAAACTTGTACCAGTTTGCTATTCGTTATCTCTAAAATAACTAGTCTTGGTTGATCAAAGAAGTCATCTGGTATAGACTTTAAGGGGCATCCTTCCCAAAGCAACCATATTAACTCTTTGGGGAGATGTTTGTATTCTCCATTGAGCTGCACGTTGTAGAGCCTGAGCAGTCTCAGTTTCTTCATGATGGCAAATGCTTCTGTACTGAAACTAGGCATGTTAGAGCTTGGAGGCAAAGAAGGGAAATATGGTGCTAGCCATTCAGGGAAAGGAGGGAAATATAGTGCTAGTCCTTCAACTTCTTCAGTTCCCTGTTAACAAAAGGTTATATTAATGTGTAAGAAACGGATTATTTGCATACGTTTACATGTATGAGTACATGCAAGTACTATCGTTGGCTAATTGAGATGAATGTTACTTATTGTATAATTCACACCCGTGAGTTATATGTGCTTTTCGTGTACAATGCATTAATTCAGAATTTTATTGGGAATGTACTTACAGATTTATCTCTCAATACATTAGTGACATCTTGATGGTTCCACAACCTACTCCATTCTCTAGGGGGACGACGGTAATTACCAGAAATGATTACTTTGGCCATTTCTCGAAGCAAATCATGCATATTCAACTTGTTGTCTTCAACAGTTATAAGGCATCGTTCACGGAGGTCATTGATTCCTATTGTTGCAAAAAAGTTACATCCATCTAATATTTTTGCGACATAATCCTTTTTCCATCCAATAAAGAAACAAGATATGTCAAGGAATATATCCCTCTGGGTAGGATCTAGCCTTTCAAAGCTTACTCTTAGCGGTTTCATTATTCCTTCATTAGGAATTTTTTTCAATTTCTCCAACTGGCTTTTCCACTCTGTTGGGGATCTTTCAACCATAGAAGAACCTAAAACTTCAAGGGCTAGTGGCAAACCACCACAGTAAGAAACAACCTCTTTTGAGAGTTCAAGATATCCTTCATTAGGCCTACTATTTCCAAAGGCATGCCAACTAAAGAGCTTCAGAGCTTCTTCTTCATTCATTTCCTTAAGTGGATATGTCTTGTCCACTTTCATGTTCACTTGCTTTAGTAAACGTTCATCTCGTGTCGTTATGATAATTCTACTTCCTGGGCCAAACCAATCACGATTTCCAGCTATTGCATTTAGTTGTTCCACTTTGTCTACATTGTCAATAATGACAAGTACGCTTCTACGTTGGAGATGATTTTTTATCAGACTGATACCTTCATCAACACTGGTTATCTTAGACTTGTTCCGTTTCAAGATGTCAGAAACAAGTTTGCCTTGCAAATCAGCCAGATCATATTCACTAACGTTGGCAAGGAAGCTTTTGAATTGGAACTTATGATGAATTTGGTTATAAATGGCTTTGGCAGCTGTTGTTTTACCCAATCCGCCCATCCCCCAAATTCCAACCATGCGAACTTCTGATCCACCACTTGAAAGATAACTGATAATATCTTGAACGCGAGAATTGATTCCAACCGGGTGCTTGGCCACATGTAATTTGTTTGTGCTTAGAAGCCATTCCGGAATAATCTTATCAACAATTTCTCTAATCAGCTGTGCTTCGCACCTGAAAATTGAATTGGTAAGCTTAGTAGGCTTAGTAGGAGCCATTAGAACATAAACAATTTTCCTTCTTTCCTTCGTGTGTGTGTGTATACACACACACACACACACAATAACTAGCTACTAGCTAATATGTGATTTTGTGACCAACTTGAATAGAAGAAACAATTTCATGCATTGATTTATTAAAGTTTGGTGTATCAATTAAACTCCAATTATGGTTTAGATTTTAAAGGAAATTGGAGAAATGGTCCCTGAACTATGATCAAATTGTGGCTTTGGTTCTTAAAACTTTAAATTATTAAAGTTAACTCTCTCCCACCTCCCTCCCACCTCACCTCCTCCAAACCCCAGCCACACCATTGTAGCACTTTCCCAACAGCCAAAACAAAAGAAAGTTTCTAATCCAAATTTGGAACACATCTCCCCTTGCAAACAAATTCACAATGACATCCATCCACGCTATCTCGAAAGGTAAAATTCAAGAAATTTGTGGGATGCGGGATCGGGGTTAAAGTGAAGGCTGTGGTCCATGGGCTATAGGTTGGGGCCGGCTGGGGAGTGGGGATTAGGGATTGGGGGTTGGAAGTGGGACGTTGACGAGGTGTGAATCAACGATTGAAGGTGAAGGGGTGGGCTGCGAGCCTGCGAATGTTGGTGGGACGAGGTAGGCCTGCAATTATATATATATATATATATATATATAGGTGAAACTAACATGTAAAGTTGTAAACACTTTCAACTAAAACTTAAAGATATTGGTTACGAAGGACTAACGCTCCATATTATCAAGTTCAAGGACAAAATATAATGAATTTTTAGTTTAGGAACCAAACTACAATTTTCCTGTAGATTTTAAATGAGAGATTAAGGTGTATTAATTAAGCATGTTAATTAGAGTAATACAACTTAAATATTGAAATGTAGGAGAATGATTACCTATTATCAGTGATTTGAAGATGGTGGCCAGACAAATTTGCAGCTTTTGTAAGAGCCTCTCCCCACTGCTTTACCCCTTGTTTAGCTTCACGTTTCTTGTCATCCTTTTCTTCACCGATGCCTTCTTTGTGCTTCTGAAATTCTTCGGCCAACTTTGCAGCTGTTGTAAGAGCCTTTCTCCACTGCTTTACCCTTTCTCGTTTATCTTCACGTTCCTTGTCATCTTTTTCTTCACGGATGTCTTGTTTGTGCTTCTTAAACGCTTGGGCTAAAACTCCGTTCTGCTTCCTGACATGTGAAGGATCAACATGATAGAATATTGGCAAAACATGTCGCCCCAGTTTGTCTCTGCACTCCATGATCTTCACCAGCTCGTTAAGACACCAACTCGAATCCGCATACCTCTCTGAGAAGACAATGATAGAGATCTTCGATTCTTCGATTGCCTGGAACAGTTCTTTTTGTATTTCTTCCCCTCTTTCTAGATCATCCTCATCGATATAAGCCTGGTATCCCTTGTCTGTTAATGCCGCATGGAGGTGGCCCGTGAAACCATTGCGTGTGTCTACACCGCTGAAGCTCAAGAACACGTCGTAATTCCAAAGTTTTGACTTGGAGGAGAATGAAGAGGAGGCTTCGTGGGTTGTCATGGTGGTATCCACCGTTATGGCACTGTAGTTGTTCAGATCACGACTAAAAAATGGCAGTAGTTGTGTTCATACTGTCGAACGGATGATCCTGAAATACCTAAACCCAAGTCAAGCTCCTTCAGTCAACAAGAACAAATATTATATATAATAATGTTGGCCGGAAGGTGCAGAGAAAGGGAGAGGAAAAGAGATAAGAAAGGAACGAAAGGAATGAAAGGACAAAGACTATCCAAAAGATTCTTGGCTGTGATTACAGCTATTCATAGGAGAAACAACGGACATATTTTTATAGGAGAAACAACCTGCCCATCTTCATATATAATGCATTTCAATAGGAGAAACAACTTTAGTTTGTACTAGAATTTTTTACCCGCGCGTTGCTGTGGGATTTGAAATTGTATGAAAGATTATCTTTGAAATATATAATAGATTGTGTGATCGAAGATTAATACTATTTACATTGCAAATGTTGAAAAAAGTTTTACATACAAAAGATTTTACGATACAATCCACATACAAAAGATGGTAAATTTTTTTCTATCTACAACATGCATTATGTTATGGAATGATATATATAACTAAGTGCCAGAATACATAACTTCATAACTTATATTTTTTTTGACAAATTAATCACATTCAACTGTGGGATAGCAAGGTTGCCTATAAAATTGTGAAGTCATGGAAGCATAAAGGACAAATAACAAATGAGTTTTGAGAAATTATTCCACAAATGTCATTCTGCAAAATGTATTAAAGACGATTGGTATAAGATTAGTAATCATGAGTAGTGTAACAACATCAACAAAGTAACTATAAACCATAGTTGAACATAATCCAAATATCGTTTGCAAAAACAAAAGAAAAAGAAAACAGACTTACAATAATTCAGCCTTCAATCCTGAAGTCCTACTCAAAGAGCCAAACTTGAATGCAAGCTTTCTGAAATCTTCCAAACAATACAGATAAAAAGGTAACACCCTAGTCAGAAATGAACCGAGCTGCTAGCTTTCAAAGAAACCCAGATGACAAAATAAAAAAATAGAATGGAAAAATGACTTGCACATTTAAGGCTTGCTCGAATCTTGATCTAAAATTGGTGGCGGGTTGATTGTTGGTCACCAACTCTAAATAAAGAATTCATCAGAACCTAGAAATTTAAACAAAGAATTTTCCAAAATCAACATTTACTAAAAACCAGTTACTTGGTTATCATGCATGATGGCTTGCCAAAGACTGAATTAAGGAATGCACAACTTTACTTTTATGATTATTTTCAATGACAGCTAAAAGGTCAGATCCAAATGACAGTTAAATTCCTTTTCTACAAAGTTCGAAATTATATGGCAGTTTGGCATCTGTTGAATAACATGGTTGAAAGATTTAAAATTGATACATTCAATTTTTATGTGTAAAACTATAACATATACCTAAAGCTATTTGGTCTATATATCCATATCAATCATGTTGTAATTAAATGTTTATCGATGTAAATAGATGATTTCAGTCATGTGATAACATGTTTCTTGATGGTATACGCTGAAGTTTGGTCTAAGTTGGATAAAAATCGACCAAAATCTTAGTAAGAGACTCTTTTAACTTTTAACCAAAAAATGAGCACCACAATACTACACTTATAAGTTTTTATCATGCACAAAATATACAGCACTGATAGCCACTTTTAGAGCAAGAACAATACTTTACCAGACGAAAACAACAAAACACTCAAAACCCAGAAACAAAAACACACTTAGGACTCAAACTCCTCAAAAACATGAGAAAGAGAGTGCGTGAGGAGAGAGAATAAAAAAAAATATTATTTTTCACAAACTCAAAATTGTTTATAAAATTACAAATCAAAACAAATGAAAATCCAAAATTGCCCTAAATTAAATCTGTTTAGTTAAATGTTTATTGCCCTTCAAATGTTATTACACCTGACAATTGCTTTGAAGTTGATATTTTGGTCAATCCAGGGGAAAAGGAGTTATTGCTTTTGGAGCAGTTGTCATGGAGAATCCCATCTCCATGTTAAATAAAAAAAGGTCGTACCCAGTGCACAAGGCTCCCGCTTTACGCAGGGTCTGGGAGAGGTGAATGTCGGCTAGCCTTACCCCATTTTATGGAGAGGCTGCTCCCAACTCTCGAACCCGAGACCTACCGCTTATGGGCGAAGACACTTGCCATCGCACCAAGTGGCCACAATAATTTAGGAGGCCCTTCTCTCCAGATTTTCTCAATAACTTTCCTTTTCGTAGCTGGTAAGATTGCAACTCCAAGAATTGCTCTGAAGAGATATATACAAACAAAATCAAACTAAAACTAAGCTATTGGAAGAAATTTACAAAACAAAAACACAATTTCAACTCAGAGTTAAAGTCAACAGAAACCAAATGGTACAAGTTGACAAAATATATGGTCATGAATCGAGAACTTCATCAAACTAACAGCAATAAAATCTCCTATAATCTGTCTAAAACCAAAAAAGAGAGAGGTAATTTCAAGACCTTGTAACGCTGAGGCCTCGTACAGTTGTAGTAATAATATATGGTTGATGCACCTGTTGCTCAATCAAATCCTTTGTCTGGCTAAAAAAATAAAAATCTATAAATACATTCACGTCCAATTTATGAGAAATCATGGGAAAGCAAATGCACTGATAACGGAATCATGAATATGAAGAACTTGCCAAAAAGAAAAAGAAAACTTCTTGTAGTGTGCCAAGAACATCCTCCTACTCCTAGCAAATTTTTTATGGCATTATCCACTTCTCAATTCATAATTCAACCAGTAACTCAAAGTCTATAGTGTATGAAAAAGTGATATCTTAGTTGATCTCGATGATAATTAAGTAGATTAAATGACGACCCATAAAGCATACAAATTCAGAAAAGAAAAGGTTGAAAACTGCCATAAGAAAACGCAGAATATATAAATGGGAAATCAAAAGAAGAGAAGCGAAAAAGGAAGAAAAAACCAAACAAAATTATTAGGTTTGGGATATACCTTTATCCGAAAGGCCACAACCATCAAAGTCAAACATAAACAATCCAAAAATTTGTGGAAAATAACAATAAATGCTTAACTAAAAATGAAAGAAAACGTAGAATAAGTTTACCTGTTCTCCCCCTAATTAAACTGGAATACAATTCACCACTAATATTCTTGTCATCCTCTTCAGCCTGAAAAATTTAGTAGAAATATTCAATGAAGACGCTTAATGGAGACAGTAATATTAGCAATGGAGGAATTGAATTGATAACTAAAACTGCAAGACCAAATGACTACAATAGGTTCAAAACAGAAACTCGTCTGTTAGATGTCTCATCTTTAGGCAGTGCCTTGTTCTTTGTTGCATGTCTTGTGAAGTTCATGTAAATCAACAAAATTGATACTTTGGACACACCAACAATGGAGAGGTAAAAAGTGAAAAACAGAAGGAATGTCTTCAGATTTGTAATGGATTTTGCAAGTCAGAAATTCTGTTCGAGAATTTGCAACCCAGAAAGTCCACCAGCAATTATTAACAATCACAGATAAGCACCGAATGAAGGCCAATCTAATACAACAACAACAACAACAACAACAAAGCCTTTTCCCACTAAGTGCGGTCGGCTTGAAGGCCAATCTAATACGCCAAAATATTCAGGGCACTAAAGAACTTATTGCCCAGTATCAACGATAGATAAGCACATGTGAAACTAAAGAAATTTTTCATTACTATCAACTCCAAAAAAGATAACCTATGCAATCCAAAAAATGTTGATACAGAGTTGGAGTATCGATGCTTGAAATTGGTATTTGAACCACCAACTACCTCCGTGAATATGTTTGTTTGCTTAATGGTTTGGGTTGAAGTTGCGAAAGGAAATATAATTTCTTAAAAGGAGAGAATGCAGAGACAATACAGAATGGTTCACGTGGCCACCTCAAAACAGATTGACAATTAAGCTTCATTATGAATGGAAAGATTAATAGATGATAATTAAGAAGGCCTGATACCCAAGCCGAAATCAGAGATATCCTTTGTAAACAAAGAGATTGAGCATTTCCACTAAAAAATAACCTTTTTTGTGAGGGGTGGGATTGGGTGGAAGGCTAGATAAAGACATCAAATTTTATACTTATTGCATGCAAGGTATGCAACAGCCTCCCGCCGATTAAAAATCCCAGAAATAAAAGAAATCGAATCAAGAAAGAAGATAATTGCACAATAATTACACCTTCACTAAGAAAATAAATTATAAAATCGAAGACCGTGAGAATAATGTCTTATACATTAAGCCTGCCAATTACTAAAAACAAAACATTTTGCCATGAGGAGAAGTAAGAACATACCCAAACTTGTTTGCAAATAGATGAGAAAAATTTATACCTGAAACAGATGGAAAATTTATTAGGAAAGATAAATCAGCCCACATGTGTGTAATCTATATACAAAAAACCACTCTTTTCATTAACCAAATCGTTTCACAAATCCAAAAACACAGAATTATATCTTGAACAATGCCAATTAATGATTTCCCATTTACTTAAGCCCAACATCAAAGCCAATGAACTGATGAAAGAGCGAAAATGAGAAACATAAAACCTCAATTAAGCAATTAAATGGAGTATTACTTGATAGAGCTGGAAAATTACCCAGTAAGATTAAAAAAAAGAGAGATGAGATGGAGTGAGAATCACATACCGGCATCACCTTTAAATATGTAGTGCTCCTCAGAGAGAGGATCAAGAGTGACTGATGAGAGGGCAGAGAACGAATGATTGAGAAATTCAAGCTCTGAGCTCAAAGTTGGGGCCTCCACTTTCCAACTGGGGAAGAAATAACAGAGAAAACACAGAGAGCCAATCCACCAAAACTATTAATCAAATGGGTTCCGTCTAATTCAAAATTTGGACCACCCAAATTCCGATGAAGCAATAACCATTCAAAATTCCAACAGATTGAAGCCCTCACAGACTACAAATTATCAATACCCAGCAATAAAAAATTTGAAAACAGTAATAATGAAGGAAAAAGAAATTAAAGCCGCAAGCCATTCTCTAAATCTCAGGCACCAATCCAAATCACCAGTAATTTGCACATAATGATAAGAATCTAGCAGTATTTCCATTGTTTAAAACCCAAATTCAAGAAATCATGAAAAATGGAAACTTTATATAGAAATTGAAGCTTTACCTGCAGATCAGCAGCAGCAAACGGAATCCAACGGCATGTACCTCAAAAGTGAGAGAGAGCTGAGAGATGAGTAAGAGAATCGGTAAACAAAACCCCCAAAATCACAGAAGGAAATTTAAACAGAAAACAAATTTGCAAATCCAAAATCACAAAAACGAAATTGAAACACGAAAGCTGTAAAACTGACCAGGAACGCTAGCTTTTCTGGGTAAAAACTTTATTCGAATCGAATAGAAGAACCGAGGAAAGTTCTACTGGTTCAGTGGTTATTCCAGCAAGAAAGCACCTTGTTTGTAATTCGTGAGAGGTTGGAACTTGGAGAGCGAGAGAAGCCGATTTGGGAGCCAAAGAAAGCGAGGTTGGAGAACGACGGAAGCTGAGAATTGCGAGAGAGAAAAACGAAAAGGAAAGGAAAAGCGGAGAAAAAGTCACGATTATCGAAGCGTGCGAAAATGAACGGGGAATGGGGATCTGGCTGAGGGAGACAGAATTCGAGAAAGCGGAATGAAGAGAATCGAGAAGAGGAGGAATCATTTTAAGCGGATGATCGACGCGTGGGAAGTAAACTATTATTTACAAATCTAAAGCATTACCCGAACTTATAATACAATAGCTACTTTGACAGAAGAAAAGATGGAGAGTGAGATGATTGCATTCCTTTTCAAAACAACTTTTAAGATTCCATAATAAACTAATATATATGAAGATGTGCCCCGTGGTAAAAGAGAGGAAGGAAAGATTATCAAAAGTTTATTGTTCGTGAATCGTGATTACAGCTATTCAACTTTTGTAAATTTTCTTAACATGAGTGAGATTTGCATTCTTTTTCAACCGAACTTCTTTTGATTTCATAATAGATTATTATACGAAGGATAAATGCTTAACAGATTCTCTCAAAATCGATGCTTTTCATGAACTTTTTAGCTATCTTATGTTTTTAGACTTAATTACACTAACACTTTCTGTGGTTTAAGATAGTCTTACGTTTGAAATATTACACTAACATCCTTTTAATGTAATGTCTCAAACGTAAAGGAATTTTGTGAAAACTCGACTAACTTTAGGAGTGTTAGTGTAATTAATCTATTTTGTGCAAATATTGTAAAATATTTTACCAAATACATTAAGAGCTCGTTTTGATGTGTTTTTAAAATGACTAAAAACGTTTTTAAATAAAATATTTTTTTGTTCCAAAAGCACTTAAATTGTTTTATGCAAGAAGCACCAGTTATGTGCTTATTCCAGAAAGCACTTTAAATGTTTTTCTAGAATTTACTTACATTTTTATTAAGGATTGGTTTAAAAAACATTTTCACAAAAAACGTTTTCAGTTATTTTAAAAACACATCCAAACAAGCACTAAGTAGCGGATAGTTTATAGACACTTTCACTTTAAAAAGTAGGGAACTTTAACGAAAAGCACCCGGTACTGTTCACTTTAACGAAAAACCATATTTTTACACTAAAAAATCAATCTTGGTACTATTCACTTTACCCTTTATTTTGTTCTTATCATTAAAACTCAAAATTTTCAAGCCATTTTCATTAGTTTTCTTTAAAAAGTATTCTTGCATATTTCTAACAGACATGTACGGTGGAAAAAGATCACTTCATAATTAAATATTATGTTGTTGATTACGCCTCTCTCTATTTGATTAAGTTTCTTTTCACTCTTCTCTAAAAAATAATGGTTTCTTTTCACATTATTAAACCGTTGTAAAGTAAACTTTTTTTTTGTAAAAGTGTTTTTAATTAAAAAAAGTAATGTCAAAGTGTTTGGTAAATTTTTATATAAATTACTTTGAATATATTAAATAACTATAAAATATATACTATTTAATGTGATATAATAATTGTCAAAGACAATAATGTATGAGCAAAAATTGTAATTTGTAAAACATGTAGAGGTATACTATTTGAAAAGTTCATTAAATGAGCGTTAATTATTATACTTTGAAAAAGAAAAAAAAATATACTTTTTTAGAAGCATAGTACACCCTACTTCTCATTTTCTGTACTTTTTTCTACTTTTATTGACAGTAGTTTAATAAGTTGCTTTCTTTGAGAGTACTCAAACCAATCCTTAATAAGTGACCATTTTGAACTTTCTTGGCGCCATCGGTGTGGAGGGAGAGAAAAGAAACTAGCGCAAAACTACAGACACTCGATTCGTTGTAATATATAATAAAAAATAATAGTCACGTATAAAATATGGTACAATTATAGTTCTGGCATATGTCTCTACCAAAGATAATCGCCGTGTCTTTCAAATTTGTTGTTAAATTGGGGACAACATGAAGATTTTCACACTAATCTAAGTACAACGTTTCAAACCTTGAAAGACCACTAAAGCTTTGAAAAGTCTGGTGATTTTGTTAGGTCATGTGAATGACTGAAATTATCGATTTTCAACTTCCCAAGCAACTATTACACAAAATATAATTTAAAACTCAAGAGGAGGAATCAAAATCGATAGTGTCTTCAACTTAACCACTAATAAGTGTAGAGTACAAAAGACCATGCAATTAGTAGTTGTGCCCTTCAACAAAAAGAGAATCACAATGTTAGTTGGTCACATCACATGCCCAAGGAAAACACGGTACAAAAGCACTAAAAGCGTCCAAGCGAAAGTGCTTTCTTCTCATGTAGTTTCATTTAACTTATTTTACCACAACAGTAAATATATTTTACCACTGCGCCAATTACGAAAATGAACGGGGAATGGGGAGCTGGCTGAGGGAGACAGAATTCGAGAAAGCGGAGTGAAGAGAATCGAGAAGAGGAGGAATCGTTTTAAGCGATGATCGACGCGTGGGAAGTAAACTATTATTTACAAATCCAAAGCATTACCCGAACTCATAAAGATGCTCTAAAAACTTTCAAAGATTCCACAATTTCTGTTTGATTTCATAATAAACTATTATACGAAGGATAAATGCTAAAAATTAGTCTCAGGAAAGCACTTTGTTTGTAATTCGTGAGGTTGGACAGCGAGAGAAGCCGATTTGGGAGCCAAAGAAAGCGAGGTTGGAGACAGAATTTGAGAAGCAGCTTCCTGATTTTTTTTTTTTTATGAGAGAAGGCGGAATGAAGAGAATCGAGGAGATGAATCATTTTAAGCGATGATCGACATGTGAGAATTGAGACGATCTTATAGCAACGCGATATTCAGTTTCATCACACCAGTTAACTTGTATTGGTCGAGTAAAGCACATGTTACTTTCTGAAAATTTGAAATACTACAACGCAAAACCTATCAAGAGGATGCTACCATGTGATGCAAGAAACGAAAAGGTACAAAGTCCAGACTCACTCTGGTTGTCATTTTCCCCAAGCGCAGATGCAACTTTAGCGAATTAAGTTTGTCTCAAAGAAAGTGTCTTTCCAAAAAAAAAAAAAAAAGTGAAAACGGAGCACCCTTCCCCAGACATTAAGGGCGTGTTTACGTACACGTAATCAGAATAAGAATGTGGAATTGAATTTCGATTACGGAGTACTCTGATGTTTACTAAACATGGAGAATAAAAAAAGCAATGGGGCCCACACAAATTTTGGAATTCAATTCCTTGTATTGGTGGAATTTGATTCCCTAGATATATGTTGTAATTCAATTCCTGCTTGTTTGGACAATCGGAATAACACTTTTGTTCCCTTTATGTCCTCACTTACTTTTTTTATTTCCAAGACTATCCTTTATAAACTCATTAAAGTATATAAAATATTTGATTTGGGACAAGGGTATTTTAGTAATCATACTGGTTTATAATTCGATTCTGCTGAATTAGTAAAAATCTTTATGGAATTATATTCTGATTTCAGAACATTTAAGTAAACAGTTTCAACAAGAATCTGATTCTGACTTCTCTTCATTCCAACTCCTCCTTAATTTAATTCCTCATTTTTTTCATTACCGTTATATAAATGTGCCACAAAGAGCTTCATTAGCCCACTCACCACTGCAATAGAAACAATTTGATAGAAAATACTTGATAGCAACATACAAGCCTCTATTTTATTGGAAAAATCAAAATACAAAATCAATGTTATCAATTTTCTATCTAAATGAGAATTACGGTTTAAGCGAGTTATGTGGATACCTAAGCAGGTCTAGCGCACTTTCTTAATTTTCAAATGCTTAAGAACTAATTAGGACGCTGATCAGCAGCCTAACGTTAGGCGAAGATTTTTAGAACATTAATTACTTGTTCTCCTAGATCTCCGAGTCCAAGAAAATTATGATCACCCATTGTTCAATCTTAATATAGTCAGTACGTGGTTATTTAACCATTTTGTTATATTTATCCTTTCTCGTTAAATTAAGTAAGTGATAATAACTTTCCTGGATCCTGTAATCTAGAAGAACAAGACTATATATCACATGGATAAACATAATCAGGCATAAGAAAAAGTCGAAGAATTCATAACATAGAGTAATGCTAAAAATACTAAATTTGTAAACTAAATGACATAGAAGTTGATCGTTAAATTATTATTTAAATATTAATAAACGTGTTCATGCTCACACATCATTTAATTTGTAAATTTTATTTATAAATCTTAAGCATTACCTGAACGCATATAATACAATAGCTGCTTTGACAGAAGAAAAGATGGAGAGTGAGATGATTGCATTCTTTTTAAAAGCAACTTTTGAAGATTCCATAATAAACTATTATGTATGAAGATGTGCCGTGGTAAAAGAGAAGTAAAAAGGAGGGAAGGATTATCCAAAAAATTATTGACCGTGATTACAATTATTCAACTTTTATACATTTCTTCGAACGGAGATCCAAGAAAAGATGGAGAGAGAGATTGGCATTGTTTTTCGACACAACTTCTGTTGAGTCCATAATAAACTATTATAAGAAGAAGGAATGCTAAAGAGATTCTTTCAAAATCAAAACTTTCTCATGTTTTTGGGGTTAGTTATACTAACATTTTTTCTTTCGTATAAGATATTACGCCAACACTCCTTTTAGTGTAATGTCAAACGTAAGGGGATTTTGTAAAATTTGATTAACTTCGACGTTAGT